AAGGTCATACAGAGTTGTGCGAGGTCTTATTTTGATCAGAAACATTTGCTCTACAAAGCTGTGTTTTCAAAAAAATTTTAATTGCATAAGTATCCAGGAAAAAACCATTATTTAAAGCCCCATTTTTTCGAGGCTCTTGGAAAACTTGCTCAAAATCCCCGAAAAACCAGTTTTGTAACCAAAAGCAATACAGATTCTGGAAGTAGACACTTCAGGCTATCTTTCCATGTGTGTATCTCAAAGCCGATTTTTTGACCGAAAATCATCGTTTCTGAGGGGGGCCCTTAACACAATCTAACGTCTATCGCGATATGAGGGCGAATTAACATGATACTTTTAAAAAATATTATAATACAGACAGGAAACACTAGATTCAAATTCAAGTAGGAAAACGGTAAAAAGCGTAATTATTCTCATCATTTTTTAAGTATTAACTCTTTTATTTGTTTTTTACTTTTTCAGTTTAAGCGTTGCTTCGCACAGTTACCATGGTTTATGTTTCTTTTCTATTTCGACTGACGAATGATGAATCATAGACCAAAAATGTTTAAGATCTCCCCCCGTCAGAAAACTATTTATATCCGGTACTCATATTCAGAAAGCAAAACAGCGTTAATTGTCTTTGAAGAAGTAATCAAATCAACTAGAAAAGAAAACCAAGTTCTTGTATATACTTATATAAAAATTATTATAAATTGACATGTTGTATAACAGCAGAATACAAAAATAGTCGCGGAATAACGCCCGACCGACCGGAATATATTTTGAAACGCTGACTTAATTGTCGAAGAAATAAGACAAATTGTATCGCGTCTAGTTAAAAGTCCCTTTTCCAACTAGTAATCTAGATGACAAATAGTCCTGCATCGCCCGATTACAGACAAAATGTATCTAGATTTTTCCCATAGGTGATTTTGGATGCCCGACATATAAACGTGTTATTCAACATACAGAGAATTGTAAACTAAATACTGCTATGAGGAACAAATTGATTATTCTATGTTGGTATTATACAAAAAGGTGTGAAGACAGAAGCTGCCGAGTAATGACGAACAAAATACTTTTTTTCTTTGTTCTCACGTTAGCAAGGTTTAACAACTAGGGCTAATTTAGTTTTATTCTTCATTTATAATAGTATTTAATTTTACACCTCTAATCACCTTACTTATAAGTTAAGGTAATTACAGATGTAAAATTAGGTGAATTAACACAAAAAAAATTGGCTATTAACAAATATGTGAAAAAGCGTTTATTCCTTCAAACGCTCGTTGAAAAAGGCGACTTTTGCCTTCAAATCTGATCACTGTTTGCCACATATAGTCAATTCAACATTTAGACAGACAAATAAAGATTCAATAAGAGTGGTCTATAGATACGACTGTTATGATTGTGATGGAATGTATATTGGTCAGACTAGTCGAGGAATCTGTAAACGAGAAGATGAACGTAAGAAAGCCTTTGTTGAACAAGGCTTTTCGAAAATTACTCAACGTCATAATAGACATAATAACAATTGAAACTCAAAAGTGTTGGCGATTGAATCTAATGCAACAGAATAGTAATAAAAACGAGTTTATTAATGGACTTGTTTCGTGTTAAAAAAGAAAAGATGCATACTCCTAAAAAAGTTTTCAATTGATCTTGAAAGGTTGACGTTTCGAAAACGTTTTACTTTCCGATTAAAAATTTGGTCGACCCTATCCCGTTACCTTATAAAATGGCGGTATGCACTTCATCTGATAGAAAAATCTTCGGGCTATTCAAAACAGTATTCAGATTTGTGAATGCTTATACCGACCGTTTACTTCGACTTTGGTCTCAAAACTTTCTGTAACAAATTTCCTTATCCCAAAGTTTTGACGGTGATTCCAGATCTACTGCAAGTAGTCCGACTTCAACGTAAGTTCATAATAACGAGATCGATCGGTCACAAAAGTGCTCCATGAAGCTCCGTTTCGGTCTTGTTGTAATGTATGGTGTAAGACGTATAGGTAATATTTGTATGTCATTATATGGTAGACATCAAGTACTACCTATCCTGAAAAAATCGCAGTTTCATCTCATCTTGTTCACGAGAAAATGAAATGTAGGCTTTTCACGCGCATAACTTCTCGTACTTTACTCCAGTTGAAAAAATTTCATATCTACGGATCGAAAAGTTCGGGAAGCCTACAAATTTGGATTTGTAAGTTTTCGTCCATGCTCTACAAGATGAGGCTACTTAGAAAAAAATCTGAAATAGTCATTGAGCACGCGTCTGTGAGAAACAGTCGTCTTTCTCGTGCAATGACTCTTAGAGGAATGTGGTAATACCCCAAGACAAGCAGATTTTCGTATTCGCCAGCATGAGTTACTGTATGTCTCGGAGAATGGAGATGACGGATGACAAATGGACTGTCACCAGATCGACTCAACATCTAATGTAATTAACGATCAACCTGACTTGATTGCGACGAATTCCAACGATGAATCTCTTGATAGTCAACAGAATAGTATAGTTATCTGTCCAGACGACGATGATCTATTTTCTGATTCAGATGATAAATTAGATGAGAACGAGCCATTGTATCCAAATGCCGTTATTATCCTTGCCGAAGCATATATGATTATTAGAGGCTATATTTCAGAAATTAAATTGACATTCATGCAGCAAAAACGGCTACTTTCGTTACTCTTATCATTATTACCGGTTGACAGCTCATTAAATCGTAATCATCTATTAAAATGGCTGAATATAAAACATTTATTTTCTTATTTCACTTTATGTAATCATTGTACTCAACAATTAGACACCGAAACAGGTGCGTGTTTATCAAAGTCTCCTTTAAACGGTAATTTGAGAACCAATGATTAAATTATCGACTTATCAACAAACTGATTGAATTACGTACCGCAGGAATAGCTATTACCCATAGAAATCGATATGTGACGTTCCAAGTGAATTTTCAAGGCGACAAAAATGATTCACCATGCAGAGCCATGAAATGGAAGATTTCTCAGTTTAATGGATTCGACCGTTGTACTCATTGTCTTCAACACACGAAACAAGAAACTCAAGTATGGTGTATTATCATTACACGAACACTACAAATTTGTGTACACATCAAATGTTTGTCAATGCAGCGCAAATAGCTGATTTGAGAAGTACACCGACACATATCGCTGTAGTTCAAGGTGTGAAAGGGACAAGCCCTTTATTGAAGCTCTTTGACAATGTTACCGAACACACTCTCTTTGATTATATGCATGCATGCTGCGGCTCATCCGGTCATTTCGCTCATGTATTAAAAAAGTGAATGAGCAGTGCCTCGTCTGATGTAGCTACAGCAATGTCTGATTATATCCTTAACATAATGTTGCCACATGACACCAAAGTTAGTCTTCGACCACTCGGTAACTTCGACTGGTGGAAAAGCAAAAAGTATCGATTTTTCTTATTGTATGTATCCATGCCATTTGCCATAACATTCATACCAGCAGTTATTACCAGTCATTTTGTTTTATTCTTTGTCGCGTTTCGTATATTACATTTTTATGAACAAAAAACTAATGTCGATGTTGCTGATACCTTTCTTGATCACTATCGCAAAGAGCTTGCTGTACTATATGGTCTGGAATGGGATTCCTACTCTCACCATCTACTCAAATTCTCCGCTACAAGTAAAAGGCCAAGAAGCATTATTTGTTCATAGTCGTTTCGGAGAAGAAAGTTTCCTTGGGTATATAAAAGGTTTAAGAAAAAGTAATGTTCAAATTGCAAAAAATTTTATTTTTATGATGTACGCTTTACAAAACAGTGTGCATGAGAAAACCGAAACGTTATCACTAGAGAATATATTTTCGTATGAAGAACTGTACGATCAAAATTTTATCGGAAAAAAACTTTCTCACAGTTTTTTATAATATTTTTAAACGAACGTTAGATAAGAACGATATATTTTGTCGGTTTCACCGAGATCTAAATGTTTTTCACTCTCTGATCTACCAGCGTGCGTGAAGCAAAATAAGTCATTGTGTTTCTATCGATACAGCATATTGCCCAAATAACTCAAAAAAATGTTTTGCTACTATTGTATTTTATTTTAAAGATAATAATTTCTCATATGCTTTTTTAAAGCTGTACATTTGTTCTGGGATGAATTTTAGAACAACCAGAAATGATCTATTAACTGTCACCATCAATCATTTTCTTGATAAGTTTTATGAATTAGTTGATCTATCCGTTTTTTACTATGCCGTTGTTGAAGTTTCTCAAATACGGCATAAGTGTATTGTTATACCTTTTCAAGAAAAACATTTGCTTACAGAAATGTACTGCACATTTGAACATGATTAACCCTCGTACTACCAACCAGGGTCCAAATGGACCCTGTTCTCGGAAAAATGAAAATAAAATGAAAATATTTTGTTCAGAGCTCCGGTTTTCGCCATGCGAAAAAGCAGACTTGGAGACATGTTTTCACAAGCAAAATTATTTTCAGAAGAGTTTTCTAAAACAGGTTTTCCAGGAGATGTTTGAAAAACCAGGTCGTGTGTACGAATTTTCCAATATGATTGTATTGATTTTTTTTCATGAGCTGATAGCCCGGGATGCTCTCTTGAAAATGAAAGTCAGGCGAGACCTTGATTTTCCGTGGTTCGGGCGTTGTATCGGATTTCCTACGAGTCCCAGGACTGACATCAGGTGACTATTGGTAGCCTTAAAGTCGGATGGACTATGGGTAATCGACCATGCTGAATCTCATGGCAATATTGGTTTTTAAAAAGAGATTTAAAAATCTAGCGAAAAGCAAGTTTTATGAAAACTAGGGTTTTCAGGCCTAATATTAGAAAATTCATTATTCGCTCAAAATACATCAGAACAAGCTCAAAACTTCAGAATGTAGAGTATTTAAACTATTTTATATCCTGTTTATAGGAGATCTCGAAACAAATTTTACAAAACCCTAAGGTTTTCCAAAAGAGTTTCTGAAAAACCTATTAACAGAAATATGTTTTTCCGATCTTTTCGATCTTATAATCACGTTTAGTAGACAACATTAATCATATCCTGAGGTTTTAAGCTTGTTCTAATGTATTTTGAGCGAATAATGAATTTTCTAATATTAGGCCTGAAAACCCTAATTTTCATAAAACTTGCTTTTCGCTAGATTTTTAAATCTCTTTCTAAAAATCAATATTGCCATGAGACTCAGCATGGTCGATTACCCATAGTCCATCCGACTTTAAGGCTACCAATAGTCACCTGGTGTCAGTCCTGGGACTCGTAGGAAACCCGATACAACGCCCAAACCACGGAAAATCAAGGTCTCGCCTGACTTTCATTTTCAAGAGAGCATCCCGGGCTATCAGCTCATGAAAAAAAATCAATACAATCATATTGGAAAATTCGTACACACGACCTGGTTTTTCAAACATCTCCTGGAAAACCTGTTTTAGAAAACTCTTCTGAAAATAATTTTGCTTGTGAAAACATGTCTCCAAGTCTGCTTTTTCGCATGGCGAAAACCGGAGCTCTGAACAAAATATTTTCATTTTATTTTCATTTTTCCGAGAACAGGGTCCATTTGGACCCTGGTTGGTAGTACGAGGGTGAAACAGAAATAGTAAAAAATCTTTCTCAAATTTTATATACTGCACTGGAAACTATTAGGACGATGGCAGTTTAGATAGTGAAGACAACTAAGGCTTAGAAAACTTTAATAGGAGAAAGACTGTCAAGCTCGATTTATGTTAGTAACAAACTACATCAATGACCTTTAGTCTCTAATAACCAATCAATAAACCTAAATTGATATATATGAATACAATAGCATTGGTGATAATTTAAGGAAACCTTACACTTGTAAGTATTACTATTATAATTACAGAACATGTCAAATAAACTCATTTGTTTTTTTCTTCTATACTTATACAATAGGGAACTCGACGATATATAGTAATGGTACTGTCAGTGAAATTGAGAGAAATAAGAGCGAAAATTATTATTCAATATATCGTGAGGAAATAATGGATCATAGTACAGATAGTGTAAGTATTGAAATATTTTTTAACAGTCAAGACAATTTAAAACAATTTCGTTTATGTGATGAAATAAAATTATATGTTGTACGAAAAAAAACATAATTAATGAAAAATCAATAAACAAAAGATATGGTATTATTTTGAATTTTATTGGCTTTGAAAAAGCATTTGATTCAGTACCCTAATCGACAGTCCCCAAGAAAGTCCCCAGGGACTCCCCGGGGAGTCCCTCTAAAACTCCCCGGGGATTCCGTAACGGGAGTCCCCAGGGATTTTTAGGGGAGTCCCCAGGGACTCCCTGGGGACTCCCCTAAAAATCCCTGGGGAGTCCCTGTAGATCTATTGGTCCATCTGTTTTCATATAATTTCATATAAATAATTAGTATTTAAGTGCTAGGTACCATCA